AGCCTACGCCGACGATCCCGGATGAGTGGGTCACAGACGCGATCAAGCCCGGCCAGAAACTGGGCGAGGCGAAGCATTTGTTCTCGCAAATCCCCGCGAGCAAGATTGAGGAGTGGCGCGAGGCATTTGGCGGCGAGGAGGTGCGCAAGCAAAAGGAGGAGGCGGCCGCCAAGGCAGCTGCTAAGAAGGCGGCCAAGGAGCGGGAGAAGGAGAAGAAGCGTCTTAAGAAGGAGGCTGCTAAGGCCGCCGCTGCTTCTGGCGCCGAGGCTGCGTCAGCGGGGGTGGAGTCCGGGGAGAAGAAGAGCGAGGCAGACCCTGCGATTGAGGCGGTCACTGAGGCGATTGCCAAGGCTGACGTGCACACCTCGTAAGGAGGCTAGGATTGCGGGGATGTTGTTGACGATTGATGATGGTGGGGATACAGTGGGTGGCGTCAAGGGGTCGAAGCATGGGGCTGGGAACGGCCAAAGGGGAGGAGTGCTGGGACCATGATGGGCCAGGAACGAAATCTTGAGGTCTTTGCTGCAGCTGCGAAGCCATCGTGACAGAAGCTGTCACCGTTCTCGTTTAACCCCCTCAAGACGGACTTCTGGGGTTCCCCGCATTCACTCCTCATCTCCACGTTTTCCAAGAAAGGAATTGATTTCTGGCCATCTTCATCTCGCTGTGCATGCAAACTAGCAAGCGGTACCTGGTACCTGGCTGCGTGAGCATCAGCAATTTGTGCCTCATCTAAAAGAAAACCGACTGCCTCGCTTGCATTCAAGCCGAGCGAAAACGTCCGTCTGTCCGTCGTCCGAGGCGCAGAGCCACGATCGGCGCTCGTCCGTGGAGGCGGTCCAATAGCCACCCCTGGTACGGGAGCCCGCCGCCCCGCGGTAGTTGGAGCGAGCTTCCGGCTCCCCCGCTTTCAAAACGTCTTCTGGGCTTGCATGTTTAGTCTCGGACAGGCTCCTCTAGGCCAGCGCGATGACCGCTGGGCGGTGATGGCCCGAGATCTTTGTGTTTGCATGTGCTTGTGCCTGTGCCTGTGCCTCCTAGCCAGCCTGTTCGTCTCATCTCGTGAGCTGTTCTTGTGGCAAGATAGCTAGGTGGCGAGAAGGGAATCGAAACTGGGGTTTAGAGTCGGACTGGGACTGGCTGGGTCTGGGGTTCGACGTCACATTTAGCATGAATGGGGAGAGACGCTACCCCACGCGGAGAGTGAGAGATTCCAACGGCGGAGAAACCTGGATACAGATTAGGTTGGGTCTAGCACCCCAGTCCTTCTGTACCTTAGGCATGCTGAATGGTCCACCCCTGGTTTGTATTCGGTCCTCGGGCCAGTGGATGCCGGTGAATTGATGGAACGTCATATGAGGTGCGAGCAAGCTTCCGTCTTGGGAAAGCAGAGAAACGGAGTGGATGTGGAGGAGGGGGGAAAGAAAGCTGCCGTGGTCCTGGCCGATCAGTATAAGAGGCCTTGGATAGCAGGTTTTTCTTGCAGGACGTGCGTGTAAGCAGAGACGACTTGCCATCTCACGTCTACTATCGCCCATCATGGTTGCTGCTTCTAAGATTCTGTGCTCCGGCGCATTGTTCTCCTCCCTTGCGGCGGCAAGGTGGATCGTTCCCGGCGGCCGCTGGATCGATACCGATGGGGGCCTCGTCAACGCCCACGCTGGTGGTGTCACCAGGGAGGAGGAGACGGGCAAGTTCTTCTGGTTCGGCGAATACAAGATCGAGGGCCAGGAGGAGGGTGGTGGTGTTTCGGTTTACAGCTCAGACGATCTCGTTACATGGGAGAACCATGGACTTGCGCTCAGTACGTTTCCTCTGTAGACTGCGAACTAGCAGTGAGAGTGTTTACTGACGAATGACGGTAGTCCCTGAGGAGGGTCACGAGTTTATCTCACCTGAAATGATCATCCAGAGGCCCAAGGTTGTGTACAGCCGCGAGACCCAGCAGTACCACGTATGTCGGCCGATGCGCAGTGACCTACTCTGACCCTGTTCGCTAACAGCACTAGATGTGGTGGCACGCCGACGATAGCAAGTACAGCCTCCTTCTTCAGGGTCTTGCCGTCTCGCCCAACATCACGGGCCCCTACACATTTGTCGACGCCACGGCGCCCCTCGGCAACTGGTCCCAGGACTTTGGCCTCTTCACCGATAACTACGGCAATGGACGCTCCTACGCACTCTATTCCAACGGCGACAGGCGTGAGGGCCGCGACGTCTACCTCTCTGTCTTTAACGAGAACATCACAGAGGTCGAGGAGGTGACATTCCGCTTCAACAAGTACGATCTTGAGGCGCCGACCATTCTCCAGACGGACAAGAGTTACTACGCGCTCATGAGCCACAAGACGGGCTACAGGCCCAACAACGTTGTTGCCTTCCGCGCCGACAAGCTCGAGGGACCTTGGAGCCAGCCTTTCATGGTGGCCAAGCCGTACACGCGCACTTACAGCTCACAGAGCGGCTTCTCGCTGCGCATTGAGGGCACGGAGAAGACGACGTACCTGTACATGGGTGACCAGTGGGATCTCAACTCGCTCTGGGAGGCGAGGTACATCTGGCTCCCCATTGAGATTGACGACGACAAGGGCAGCCTCGAGGTCAAGTGGCACGACGTCTACGACCTCAATGTCGAGACTGGTGTCGTGACCCCTATCGAGGGCACCTCGTACCTGGTCGTCGACGCCAAGCTCGAGGGCAACGCCTGGCTCCAGGAGGCCAACTTTGCCAGCGACGGCCGCATTGCGACGGGCATCTACGGCAACGACAGCACCGTCACCTTCAGCGGCATCGAGGGTGCCGGCAGCAAGCAGTGGGTCTCGTTCTACTACCAGAACACGGACGACATGGGCTTCGGCGACCAGCCCGGTGGCACACCCGACCGCATCAACGGCACGTGGCAGCTGAGGCGTATTAGCAGCGTCGTCGTCAACGGCAAGGTCGAGGAGCTCGAGACGCTGTATCAGAGGGACACCCACAAGGGCATCATTGCCTCGGCACCACTGCTGCTGGATCTCGAGGCTGGCTCCAACAACACCATCAAGATTGGTGGGCTGTCCAACGGCTTCGACTTCAAGGGCGCCGACATCGACCGCATCGTCGTGTACCCGCCCCAGCCTGTCAAGAACAAGTGCAAGAAGAGGGCTGCCTAAGCGAAGGAGCCGAGAGACTGGTGCCTGGTCGTGGGGTCGGAGACTGATAGTCGCGAACATGATGGTCATGGGGTGTGGAGGGAAGGCTGTGCTGCCTGTAGTGTCGCATACATATCTACCTGTTACCGACCTACCACCTAAAAAGGTACCTTAGGTAGGTAGTCTTTCAAAAGTAAGATACCTTAGGTAAAGTACCGTACGCAGCCCCAGCTGCAACATCCAAATAGCCTCGTACCACCGAATAAAAATTCTTCTACATCCCAAGGCTGCCACCCAAACCCATGTCTTCTGTCCCAACATCACATGCTGCGCACAACTTGAAGGCCAATACGAAGCAGTACCAATCTTCAGCCGGCCGCCTCTTAATGAGGGTGGAATTTGGGGGGCACCACCTCCAGGCGAATGATCGGCTGCGAGTTGGGACAAGGCAGACCATCCAGGACTGATGATACCGAAAGGGCTGCATCTCACGGCTAACCCGGTCTCCTCTATCCAATATACGACTTGTGGTCGCCTTTTCTTGGCGCATATATGCTGTGTATCTTCCATGTTCGTTTGCAGGAGAAGTCCGGTGGCCGACTTCCAACGCAATCAATGCGGCACGAGACTTATCTTGACGGATGCGCAATTCATCGTGGCGTATTTCTGACATTATTCGGTGTTCGCCGACACTTGCGTCGCAAGATATCGTCGTGCGCTGGCTGGACAGAGGAATTCTTAGTCCTTGGCCGACTACCTACTTATCCCGGCATGTTTGGACGTTCCGTCCTGCGTCTCCCACTTGCCTACAAAGCGGCTTCAGAGCCAAACTCAAACGCCGTTCTATTTGGCAGGCGCTTTGATATGTTTACTGCTGTGTGAAGCCATCGCCGACTCAATGCGTGGTGCACCCACCAGGCGCGAGAGTGGCTTGGTCCAGCCTGATTGTCGGCCCCCAAACTGGCAACTGAGGGTGGCCTTCCTGCGCCTCTTCTTCCCATCTCTGCTCTAAAAGTACTCAGCCTGCAAGTCATGTCAGAGTAACACCAAAACTTGCAGCGTTTTGGCGTCGACTGCTGACCTTGCTTACCGAGTTCGCATGGGCCGATGCAGCCTTCGACAGAGCCTCGTCTGCGATTTTACCATGCAAGGTTGATGTCACGCCAATGACAAGATCCCGTGGCCTGTGGAATTCTCTGAAAGGCTTTTCTTCCCAGTGCAGGCGCATCCCAGTGGTGTCTCGGTGTCGTGTCAATGAGAAGAGCTTACAAGATGGTTCAACGAAGGGGCCCCAGAGGGAAAAGGACCAGAAGTCGGCTTCACGCATGAGCGTGTCCCGTGCGCCCATGACAGCAAGTCCAAGGCACATCCTGCATGAATAAGGCTGTAGTAAATGGCTCAGATGGGCATCTGGCTGGTTCGGACCGCAGAGCCATCCCGCGCTGTTCCTCGAACACACCTACCTTATGCACGTCATTCTTTCGCCCTTGCGGTTTTGCCAGGATCCTTCAGAGTTGAAATGTTGATATTTCAGCTTCCCAACCTGGTCTCCGAAGGATCCTAGTCATGTTGAGCCCGTTCAGGCAACACCCTGCGATTGATCAGTCAATGGACCCTGTATGGGGGTTTATCCTGCCCGTGATGTGCTCCCTTTTCAAGCGCAGCCCCCACCCCCACCCCCTACTTGGTCTACCTAGCTACCCTAGACAGCTGAATTCGGCTAACAATCGCATTCACCAGACATTACATTCACCAAGTCTCTTTTTTTCCGTTCCCTAGGTACTGTTCATGATAATTCACCTTGCCTGTTCATTGTCTACACCCCCCGAATGCACTGCCCCTTTCCTACTGCTCTTGCTATGTCATCTGATGACCCCATTGTACGGACCTACCTACGTCCAGACCAGTTCGTGGTTATCTTACCTAGTATGTAGGATACTTAAGCTGAAGGTGTCCTGACCTGTACAAACCCTTCGTCTTCTTTCCACCATACCAGCCACATCATTCGCACTGCATTGAGAACATGCCCTGGGCTTTTCTCCGCTATTCGCTGCCTGCCAAAAACCACCACCGCCAAACTGGAGACTGAGATGCACCACACAAATAAGAAGTATGATCACAGATGCGGACATCCTCGATGTGAGGTGAAGCACAGCTATCGTAGCTTCCGCGGCCATCGTGTATACTCAAACTACTGCCGGGCTCGTGAGTTCTTCATCTCGTACTAAGTTCCGTTTCACACAATACCTGGCACTGACTCGGCCCTCAGACACTTGTCGTGCGACTCATGACGATCCCGTCAAGTTTTGCCAAAAGTCCAAGGATATTGGAACGAGTTACTGCAAAGACCGTAAATAATTCCCGCGGCCCCCCTAGTCACTGTGTCGTGTGCCATCCCTGACATCGTCACAGACCTCCGTTGCGGCTATCAAGGCTGTCGGAACCCTCCTCTCAGCCCACCAAGCTCCCTCTACCCTTTCGTCTGCTCTGACCGTGAGTTTGATGAGGTGGCTGTCAGTGCCTCTGCCAATGCTAACATTGCAACACTAGATGTGTGCAGTTCCACCGGGTGTCACAAAGCAAAGGGTCACAGCCTAGAGACTTGCCTTGACCATGTGACGAGATGTCTTCACCAACAATGCAACAGAGCAACAGACATTGGAGGGGGCTACTGTCGCTGGATGCACAAATGCAACATCCAGGGCTGTCCCCACGAGCGCCAACAGTTGGCCGAACCGCCCAGCCAGTTCTGCAGCCGGCACTGTTGCCGCGTCGGCACTTGTTCAAGTGCGGTACACGATGCCTCAAACCACAACTCCCATTTTTGCGAGGCGCACGAGTGCAACTTTGCCGGTTGCTTTCGCCGCGGAGACACCCGAGGCGGGTACTGTGACCTCCACGGCTGCCAGGCACCGGGCTGTGCCAACACCAAGCTGCAGAGGGGCAACTTTTGCAGCGACCACAAGTGCAGGCAAGGCAGCTGCCTGGCGCTTTCACAACAGCCTCGCGCATTCTGCCGCGATCACAACTGCATTGTTCAAGGTTGCCCACTCGAGAAGGCTGATCCAACACTTGCCCTGGGTCTATGCATCAATCATTTCCGGGGCCATGTTGACCGGGAAAGGGAGGCCGCTCGCGACATCGAGCGCAACTTGTGGCAGCAGAGACTCCGTGATGAAGAAATTTCTCGTTACATCGCACGAAAGCTCAGAGAGATGCACATGAGGCAAGGTGTCGAGAGCGACGCCCTAGAACAGGGTCGAGGCTTCCGCGGAGCTACGCATGAGTACGGGGAACAGTCAGCCCAGATGCGTCGGAGACACAGACGGGAGTGTCGCGAACTCAAACTTCGTTGGGAACGCATATTTGCTCGCGGCGACATGGATCAGTATCTCGACCGGGCCATTAGATCCCGCATGACCCAAGCTAGGAGGCCTCATGAGCGCTCAAACTCCGACGAGAGTTCTAGAATCAGCTCACATCCTAGCTCGGAGACTGCGTGGTAGTCTTATTGACACTGTTTCTATTTTATTTGTTGACTTGTTTTTCTTTCAGCCTTTTTTCTCTTTCTTTCCCCATTCTGGTGCTCGATAGGGGCAGACAGAAGGTATCTGGGATAGAATCGCGTCTTTACCTGTGCACAGGGCTACTGCGGAACATGGCGTTGGTAAATACCTTTTAGGCAGCCTCTAGACTTGGGGACTGGGAAACTGTTAAGCCAGGGGATTGCCAACATGGAAAATAGAATGATTCCGCGCTTGGAACTGACATCTCGCGTCGCTTTTGATGTATAGTTCGAATAAATACTACCTGATGGAAACTCTTGATCACACATCGCGGTCAGGTGGCTAAGCAGACGGCTTCCTGCCTACGACAATCCATCTACTGCCCTGTTAATCAGTTTCAATGTACCGCGACATTGATCTGCAATGCGAGATATTACGACTTTACATGGATGGTATTCCAGATCCACCCCACGAGATTTCAGCCTGAGCTCTGCTTCGAGTCGTGACGTGCAATCCGTACCTGCCAGTACAAATTCTCGTTGCAAGAACATATTACTATTACCCATTCAGTATTCGGATTTGATACCTTTACTATCATGCCATGCTCATTGCCAGGATTGGCTGTGTTACGCGCGTCAAAACCGTACGCTTCAAATCTTTGCCCTCATATCAAACCAGGAACCAACGAGAAGCGCTCGAGCGGCGAAAAGACCCGCACCGCCAAGGGTGACGATAGCCATGTACAACCCGGCCAGCGGCGTGGAGCCCATAGACTCGAGAAGCTGGCCGCCGATGGGCACGGTGATCAGCACGGCGAAGCTCACGACAAAGTTCATCGTGCCGTAGAAGCGCCCGTAGTCCTTTGGCTCACACGTCTTGCCCATGCACACTGCGATTGTCAGCCTTTATTCTGCACGAGTTGCGTTGATATAGCTTAAGGGGAACAAGGTCATACCTGGCACAAGAGATAGGAAGGATCCTGATCCGAGGCCCCAGCAGGCGGAAAAGGCGTAGAGGGCTTCAATATGGCGGGCCCCAAACGGTAGAAGCGTCACGCCTGTACTGACAAAGGTGAAGACGATCATGACGAGGAGTACGTTGAGGTGGCCAAGGCGATCACCGACTGCGCCGGGGAGAAGACGGCCCACAAACGAGAAGCCGTTCATGATGGCGATGAGATTGTAGCCCGTTTCAGCAGGGAAGCCAGCCCAAGTCACGAGCGTGGGCAGAATGCCAGTGACGCCGAAGATGACGAATTCGAGCATGAAGAAGGCACCCGTGACGAAGGAGAACGGAGGAGAGTTGAAGGCCGTGAAGTTGAGGGCGGCGTTCCTTTTAGGCTGAGCAGGTCTGGCGGTAGAATCCGTGTTGGCGGCCAGCACACCGGCGTCCATGGAACCCATGAGACTAGGGAAGGGGTATAGGCATCCAACGCCGGGCACCATCATGCCTGTGATGACGAACCCGAGGCCTCGCATGGACCACTGCCAGCCCCAGCTTGGAAGCACGGAACGCAGCATCAGGGGAAAGATCACGGCGCCCACGGATGAGCCAGTGAGGGCTAGGCCCATGGCGAGGCCGCGGTATCGAACAAAGAGCTTACCCACGACGGCAATGGCGACCGTCGAGGCGACGGCGGAGCCAAGGCCACCGAGCAGACCAAGGCAGAGCATAAAGTGCCAATACTCGGTACACTCACCTAGCAGGAAGAATGTCGGTATCGTGAGGACGACAGCAACGGGGGCGAGGCGGCGGGAACCATAACGATCCATCAAAGGCCCAACCTGGATGCCGAGGAAGAGGGAGAGAAAGGTGTACATGCCGGTGATCCAGCCGACATCACGGGCAGAATAGTCTTCAAGCACGTTCAACTGCAAGTAGGCTTGAATGACGCCCACAGATTGCATCATGCCTGGCGCTTGTCAGCAAGATTGTCCTGCGAAAAGGGGGAAAGGCTAGGTATGCACCAAAAGACGGCATCAAGAACAAAAAGCTTCCTGCAACGCAAAGCCATGCTGTCGCCCTCTTCTCCACGTCGGCCGATTGCCTAGAGCCCGATGCTGATGGCGCATCGCGACTAGGCTCATAGTCAAGAGGGACAGGAAATGTTCGGCCCGTCTCCACCAGCTCGAGGCGGTTTTCTGGAGCAGAGGCCATCTTGGTTAGTGGACGTCGACTCAAACAACAAACAATGCAAGTTCAAGAGCCGAGTTCCGCGGGACTGATGCTGTCAGTTGACCTGTTCAGAACAGCTCAATGTCTTTGAAAGCGCAAGCTTTTCATTTCAACAAACATGGATCTAAAGGATCTTACTTAGGCGACATCGGATGGGGCCTCTTGGCAACGCCTTGAAAGAGTCATCGCACGCAAGCGGTTTGGGGTCCATGAGCCCTGCGGAAAGCGATGTCCACGCCCTTCGGGGTGGAGCCCGCGGCTGGTTATATGGACTTCTTGCTATCCTGAAACCCTGTAGTGTCTCTGCTGTAGGGCTGTCAGCTTCACTGAATGGATTCTGGGTGGGTGAGATGAGCCTGGTCCTGTGGAATCGATTACCCCATAGCCCTTACGCTAGGGCCATCCATCCGCAAGACGCCCCGGCGATGTCGGCCGGGCTTTCGTCAACGTCGCCGTTGGTGGGTAGGTATCAAATTTGAGTGACTGAGCTCCCATTACCCGGCTCGGGCTCCATAGCCGGTTGACCGGCAACTCACGCGGCGGGATACTCACAGGCTGGGAACTCATTTTTGGCAGCACAGGTGGAAAGAATCATCGTACATGTCCACATCAATCATCAGGGTCCCGCAGCGCTCTGTGTCATTTCTTCGTTGGAAGCACTCCGTGCAACCTTTTCTCAGCTGAAGAATGACCATGCTCGAAAAGGAAGGTGATGCTATAATTATGGGACCAACTTGAAAGCGCCAAAATTCATGGGATGCCATGCGTCTGAGTAAAGGGATAAAAACAAAGCTCGCAGACTAGATACAGAGAAACACCCTGTCGTGTTCATCTTTGCAGTCGCACAAGTCAATCATGTGGGTTTCGTCAAACATTCGCACAGATGGACATCTCTAGCAGAGCTCCTTCTCAGACTCTGCCGGTGTCGGCTGTGGTGTGACGAGCACACCTGGAGTACTTGCGCCCGAGTCGAGTTTGTCAAAGTCGGAACTGCCAGAGCTCCTTTCCGACTTTGTGTCATCCTCTGGCTTAGTTTGATCTTCGGTCTCGGGCGCGTCGTCGGCATCACCATCTCCCTGGACGGACGAAGGGGCCGGCGCAGGTTCCGGCTCAGCCTCGTTGTCGCGCTCTCCTCCAGCGTTGACTTGAGCGTCATCTAGGTCGGCGCCGCCCTTCTTGCCCATACCGCCCTCCTCGAGATCGCCACCCTCCAGGACCACCTTCAGCTCGAGATCTTCGTCCATTGTGTAGACGCGAACACCGATGACGCAGATGGCATTCCACGGGTCAGGTGCATTCTCGTCTTCAGACTCGTAGATCTCGGCTTTGGTTAAGGGAGGCCCAGCGGGTTTTGCCCTGGGTTTGCGTACGAAGTCATCGTCGCTGTACAAGAGCTCGTGGTCCTCAATAGGAGAATCCGATGACTCGCCGTCCGAGACTTCTTCGACCTTTTTGGCAGCCTTTTTGGACGGTGCAGGTGATGGAGTCGTCGCCTTTTCATCTTCAGCAGGGGGTTCCTCTTGGGTAATGACCTTCGGGGCTTCCTTGGCGTTCCGGTCCTGTTGGGTCCCCTCGTCCGCCTCATCATCCCCGCCCTCATCGTCGCCCTCTTCTGCTTCTTCCTTGGCCTTGGTGGCCTTTCGTTCTTTCTTTTCGAGGTTCTTGGCCTTCTGTTGCTTGTTGACCTGACGTGTGAGACGGCGCCTCTCCCACTGTTTCCGGCGCTCCTCTTTGCGCAGTGCGGATGCCTTCTTCTGTTCCTTCTCCTTACGCAGGCGGGAGACCTCCTCGAGATGAGCCGCGGCCTTGCTGTGGGCCAAGTCATAGGCGTAGCCCACCTGTGCAAGCTTGGCGTTACCACTGCGGTGCTTACACTCGCGCTTAACGACGTCCTCGACAGAGTCAAGCTGCGTGTAGCGCTCAGCTTTGACGCTGATGAAAATGCTGTAGTCACCAGCTGGCATGTCAGGAATCTCGATAGATACGGAACGGCTCATCAAATAGTTCCCGTGAGACCGGACAATGTAGTCCTCGGCGTTTGGTCGACCTTTCTCATGGACACGGAAGTGAAGCTCAAACCGGTATTGGCCGTGGAGTCCCTTGAAATACCGGTTATCCAGTTGGGACAGGGAAATGACCATTGGCGAGTCCTTGGTGAGTTTGACTTGGAACTTCTCGTTGTACTGTGGCTTCCAGGGAACATCGACGCCGATCCATCGTTGACAGCACCTCCACTTTGGGTCGTTGAATAGTCGCGTGCGGTCGAAATGCTGGAACTTGTTGAGAAAGTCCTCGTAAGAGATCCAGAAAACTGAATCGTTGCCGAATTGATGGCCTAGCTCTGCCTGGATCTCAGGAGTCCAGTCTCGAGAACCATCGGACCAGGCTCCCTCCCAGATACCCTTACGAATTTTGCCCCACGGGTTCCTTTTGGGGTGTCAGCTCACAAATCACACCAGGAACAGAAGGTCGGGTAACATACCTGAGCTTGACGAGCCGCGTCCCCGTTGACAATGTCTTGGCCTCCATGATCACGTAGGCATGACCCTCACAGATACCGACACGGTCGCCATATCCGCATTCGAGCAAACCCGTGGAGCAGCCAAACATGAATTCTAAGTTCACCTTGGACAATTCATTATCCCAGAAGCTGTCGAGATCCAGAATATCAGACGTCAAGATCTCCGCTGTGACGCCACCAGAGAGATCTTCCAAGGCCTCGCCAATCCAGCCGCCCACCAGCGAAGCATAGTCGCCGTGGGCTTTGGCGTAGGCCTTCTCAAGAAGAGGGACCCAGGTTTCATTCTGGTCGATACACTTGCCGAAGTAGAGGGCTTTTGATCCTGTCTGGTACGTTTGACGGTACACGCGCTCCTGGTCTTCGCGATCAATCTGCTGTAGCAGTTCCCGCTGCTTACTCCTCGAGTCCCAGGTGGGTGACTTGAGATAGAGCTTATCGTCGATGATGGAGTAGACCCACTCGCCGTCTTGTGTCCTGGTCAGTACCTGATGCAGTCGATCGAATGCCAGCCGCCACATTTACATACCTCTGTAAAAGACAAAGCCGTAGATGCCAACACGTGTGTCATATTCCACACAGATCCGCCGCAGACTCTCGGGCTCATTGGCCAGGGCCGTGAAACTGGCGATCAGCCAGCAATTGCCGATGCTGCCTTGCTGGACGTCTCTGCCGTCGACATTCTTCATGAAAGTCGGCTTCTCGAAGATCTCGTGGACTCGCTTCACAGCCTTGGGCACTGAGGCGCTGCTGTCGGCGAGGGTGGCCTTGTTGATCGACCAATCCGTGGCACCAAGCCTGTTGAGGCAGTGTCCCTTGTACCATTTGAGGTCCCAATCCTGTGGCGCGGGCAGCCGCGTTAGCGTTCCGTGCTCCGTGCTCCGTGTTCGGCCAGAACATGTGGTGGCGAGGGGCCTGCTCTGCTTACCAGATCCCAGCCCGGGTCCCTGTAGCGCTGGTTTACCCTGCGGCACTCCTTGATGATCTTTTTGACCTTGCGGCGGCACTCCTCAACGGCTCTCTCGTAGCCCGCACTCATGAGCTCATTGGGGCGTTCGGGGCTCACAGGTGGAGGCACGGGGTCGAAGGGAAGTATTGCCAGCGCCTTGTTGAAGGTGCGCTTCTGGAACGTCTTCCAGATGTGGTTGATCGACTGCTGTGGCGGCACCTTCTTCTTCTTTTTCACCTTCTTGTCGGTGGTGCTCGTTGCAGAGGCGGGCGGAGGCCTCGGCCTCTTGGGGTCGTCGGACTCCTCGGAGGAGCTGTAGCCGTGCATAGTGGCGGTCGCAGCTCGAGTCGGGTTGCCGACGTTAAGTTGTTGGATCGCTGCAAGAGAGAACGTAGGAACAACTATAAAGTCTGTCGTTCAAATGAGAGTGAAGGTGTATATCACAGGGACACGTATCTAGACATCTGTCAGTGGTGCTGCCATCAATCGTGAAAGGCTGGAATGAGGCACGACTCACGCAGTAGCAAGGACAATATTTCTTCAGCTCTACCCAAAAATGCGAAACCAAACAGAAAAACAAAAGAGCAACGAGCGACGAGCAGGCGGGGCGTTGAATCGAGCAGCAGATGGTCTTTATATGTGAAGCCAAAGGGGGCACCAGAGCGAGCCTTGGTGCAATCAGGGGGCACACTTGGCATCCAGCGCGCCGCCCGACTTGTCAATGGCTGGTCACCCATGTAGAGTCATTGCCCTGTCAGTAAGCCGGGTTCCACACCGCCGTGAACTGACAGGCGAAAGATGTGTAGTCCGCCATCCAGGTTACCATTTAGGGGGGTAGGGGGGGCCTGACGCATGGCGTTGGTGTTTCCGTCTCCGAGGGTTCAAGACAAGAGACAAGCCACATGCCGGCCAAGTGGCTACCAGCCAGGGGATAGGGGGCAAGACTCCATCCTGGCAGGAAGCGGGTCACAGCATTGAAACCAAGGGTCTTGTGAACAGGACACGGACAACGAAAACGGTTAACGATTCGTGCTCGAACCGGTCGGAGGGAATGGCGGTGGACAGGGCGGGAGGTCTAGATTTGGATCCTCAACAGAGCCGCGAAGTGGAGTACGGTGTTAGGTGGAAAGAAGAGACCAGGTCCGACAGATAGGTGCCTACCTACCTTGCCTACCTACCTACCTACCTAGGTACCTTACCTAGGTAGATGCCATGTAATCAGGTTCTGATAAGTACCTTAGGTACCAAAGGTATCTCTGACTACCTTACTGGTAGTGGTTTCCAGGGATTGTGCAGGCAGTCCGGGTCCTCCGCTTGCCTTTCCAGATTGCGCCCGTGTCCGCACCTCTCATCACAGGAATTGGATGGGCCGCATCCTCATGGCGAGTCCAGAGTCTCGCCTCGTCCTGGGGTCCTGGGCATTCCAGGGGTCCTGCCAGTGGCCCCTTTTAGCGGCTGACAGGGGGGGGTAATGGCCCTCTGGTGGGTCTCCCCACGATTGCAGTCGCCGCCAGTCCTGGGGTTAAGGGTACCTTGGATGTGGGGATTCGTACACTTGCCAGGTCTCGTGGTGCGAAGTATTCATCAGTTCCCCCAGTTTCCTCGAGCGGAGGGCTTGAAATAGACACCGACAAGGTCAGCCGTATAGCAGCTGACCCGCGGAGCCCGCTGCTGCCTGTTGCCTGCCGCCGCCTTGCCTGAGAGTGTTCATGCAGCATAGTAGTGATTGCGAACTTCAAGGGATAAATGATCAAATCCCCTGCTGCGGTCGCCTTGCCACAGCCTTATTCTGACCCGGCTCGGTCACTTGTTGGGGAAGCGAACAGCATAACCCAAACCTGCTTGGTGGATGGTCCCTCCAGGGCCCCGAGTACACGAGTCAGCCGCTTGTGCTGATTCGAATCCTAAGGGAAGGCATCCAATGAGCAGTCAAGATTATCAAGCGATAAGGGACAAAGAGATCGTGTGACTTCCCCGGCGCCGTCAAGGAAAAGGTGGCTCATCATGGCGCGACTGCATGATCTCGGGATGTTCTGTTGAATGATAAGAAAGATGTTCTGTATTGCGGGGATGGACAGCCTCTCCATCCGACTTCGGCGGCGATCCGATAGGAGATGATGCCCTGGAAAGGAAAGACGGGGCACGCACGCGTTGGTGGCTGGCGACCAGCGGGTGAGCTAGGCCAACGTGTTCGATATCTGCTCGACGACTACATGTATGCCAATGTTGGATCGAGCTAGCCACTTTGCCAGACAGACTGCTAAGGTTTCAATATGCAGCTCGAGTGAGATGCCGCCCGCCTCGTCCGTTCGCCTGCAGAAACCAAGGAGAAACCCAATCAAGACTGGGCTGACACGCTTCGCGGCGAAGCGGCAGGCTGTCCACCCACCCAGCCTGTAGACGAGATAGAACCTTGAGTCTCGATGCCGTCCTTTTGCCCCTGTGCGTAGTCCTGTCGGGCTGGCCATCGAGACATCCCGAGCAATCCGATACCGGTCGCATACTTGTCGCCAGTAACGCTCTCCATTGCGTTATCGTTCGGGGCGTCCGCTGAAACGATGGCCAGTGCTGTGCTTCCGAGTGCAGTTGGAGCATTCATGATTCGCGCCGATCGTCGGGAGGGCAGTGTACCAGTCCGAAAAGCCGGGGCTAGTCGTGTTGCGGAGCCTAGACACTGTACTTTAGGCACATCCGCACTGAATGGACCCTGATCGGCGTCGTGGGCCTGGGGAGAGGAGAGGGGCGGAAATGGGAGACCTTCTCTCATCCACAGGAGCCAATGTTGCCAGCAATGCCAGTTCGCGTAGGTACCTACTGTATGGTTTGGTTTCTGTGCAGACTACGGAAGTGATCATCTTGCCGAGTGGTCGCACTGGTCGGGCACGATCGTCGACAATTGCCAATGGCTGACTGAGGGACGGGATGTGCAGGCTGCGTTGTACATGTAGCATGCGATTGAGAACTGATCACCGCAAGACCCGCTGTTTATGGGTGTGTCATTCAAGGCTGTCCCGCGCTCTCACCGACTCGCCGTGCTGACCGCGAAGTCGTTTTGTTTGGATGTTGCATATTTTGTTGAATGGCCACCCGCCAACCGGCTTTCCACTCAGGGGCCACTTTGATGACTCGCAATCGGTCAATCTGATTCAGGCCAGACAGTGCGTGTGCGACTCGTCTTCTTATTTTTCTTCTGGCGTGCTTCTAGGTCAGAGACGGCGCGAGGCGCCAAAAGTTTCGGCGTTAAAGCGGCGTATTGAGAACATTAGTCGGAAAAACTAATACGGAAAGTATTGCTAGAACCGACAGTCACCAGGGCGAAAAGAAAACTTTTCTAGGATTTGTCACGATGAAAGACAATGCCACTTGACCAGTGGGAGCTGGCAACGTCCACACAGGACTAGGTAGTGTGGGCGACTGTCCAGCTCGCCAAGCCAGTGTTGTCAAACCCCACTACCTCAGGTACCTGCTTTGGGTACCCCGCCACTGTTCGCCTCCAGCCTCTATCAATCTTCACACCTATTCTAGGTATTTTCTTGCAATTTTCTCAATGGCTATGAGAACCTATCCGCTAGTCACGTCGGAGAAGTTGCCTTCTGAATCATGTGCAGGCTCCAGCCCTTCGACTGCAGTGGACTGCATTCATTCATGAGGACTGCAGTGGACTGCATTCATTCATGAGGACAATGTTTACCAGAGCAAGACATGATTGGAGGTTTACTGAAGAAGATACCTACGGGGGGTTGGTTTGGGATTTGGAACCACGGGGCGTATGTAAGGGCTGCGAAGGGCCAGAATTTAGATGTATTCCAATCACCTACATAGGCACCTAACAAGTGACTGCGAATATTACCTGCGAGAGACCTCTACACTCTGCTCATCCCTCGCTCTGACATGCGCATGACACCTCCAAGAGTCTCATCACTACTCGAAAGACAGATGTCTAGACACACACCTAATCAACAAGGCAAGGATATCATGATACTCCTGCAGATTCAAATTTCATCTAATGAACTTTATCATTCTCCAGGTCCTTATCGCTTGTAATTACTTCTCAAAGCCTTCACCTAATGTGGAATAAACATTTCATTTTCTTTATTCCTGTGTCGGCGAGCAACCCTAGGCACAAACTTCTAGCTATGGTTTACTGTCCACTAAAATTAAACGTCCCTTAGTCACAATATCGCCCTTATCGTGATGAAATCAAAGCCCTTAACCAAGGCAGTTGATGGCGAACTCGCCAGCGGCAAAGTCGTCACTGCCCTTAACGGGAAGCCAGATCTCAGCAATGGTGCCGCTGGGGAAGAATTCGACCTCGTAAAAGTCAAAGAGAGGATGCCAGTGCACCTGTCCCGTCTGCCCGTTGTTGCAGGGCACGTCGTACTTCATCGACTCGCTGACCTCAACGCTCTCGGTCTCTTCGACCGACGAGCTGATACCGGCGGTGAACATCTTGAAAGCACCGCCAATCTCGGCGCTGACCGACGTCGTTACCGAGTATCCGTCAGTTTTGGTGTAAGTGTAACCGACGCCGGGCGACATGCGGGGACCACGGTCGTAGACCCCCGGCTGTCGAACGTTCTTGGCCGTGAAAAGGATCAGATAGTCATCGTCGTCATCGTCTCGCTTGCTCTTGGCCTTTGACTGGACGTTATCCTTGTTGTTTGTCGTTTTCTCACGGGACGGCTTGCGGTGGACGGCCCACTCCTCATATTCTTCGAGGGTGAGGTCGCCTGTCTGAAAGCCATTCTCTGAGAGACGGGGCCTCAGCTTCACCTTGCCGGGGTCCCCAGATACTTCGCCTTCGCCGTTGCTGTCCTCATCATTGGTAACCTCGAGGAAGTTCCTGAAGTCGCCGCCAATCTCCGTAACGAAGCCGCCAGCCCGGAATCTCGGGCACCTGTCGCGGATGGCGTTGTAGTCCTTCTTGAAGTAGCTGTAGATGGCTTTATCTCCAGCAGGCGCCTGATCGGTGAAGCAGTGCGTGATCCGACAGTTGCCGTCCTCCCAGAACCACCAACGGCAGGACGGCGTCGGTAAACCATCTTCGCCGTTCGTGTGGATCGTGTCGGTGCTCCAGTCCTCCTTATCACCGAACCAGTAGTCAATAGTAGACTGGCCTTGGTTGTGTCAGCACGTCCAGGTTGCCTGAACTTCTAGGAAGCATCACTTACAATCTTCCCATTCGGGGCGGAAGTCGGCATCGCAGTCGACCAGAGGCTCCGGCAAACGGTCAAACCACTCTTGCGTGTCCGGGCAGATAACACCAGGGTCGTTGCAATCAAACTGAGCGGCAACATATGTCACGCTTGTGACCGCGAGCAGGGCTGAAGTTGAGGTCTTCATGGCGGGCAATGGGCTGTTGTGGATAGAGTATTGGAAATATCCTTGTGTCGAAAAAAGTAAAGTAAAGATTCTGATGGTTTTTGATGTTGGTTATGTGATGGGGATCAAGATATTCTCAAGCTTGACTGGCATTGTCATATATATGTTCACATGGCAGTACGGAGCACACTGAGGCCGATAACTCTCGTCAGGAGGATGATTGTAATCTTGAGCGATGGGCATGAACATGACGATGCCAATGCAGAAATCCGCATCCTTCAATGGAAAGTCGTGCCACTGATGGCGGCGAGTCCGAGAACCGGTCATTCAAAGATTTTGCGAAGATCGTCATATTGGAGGGACGTTGGTAGGAGATGCTCCATAATGGTCAGCAGAGGCCTGACGGGGAACGAAGTCGTCGTCATTGTGTCTGCGAAGTATGGCATATTCGGAATTCCTGCCTTCAAGCCAAGATACTTTCGAATCATTTTACCAACACAAACGAGGCTGATGGAAGCTCGGCATGCGTGATGGAGAACGACAGGCTGCAGGCACTCAGTCCAGTCTGTCGATCTCTAAATAAGGAACATAAACAGAAATCGGGAGGTGGCGGGGAAAAGGATCTGGCCGAGAAGCGAGGGATTCGATTTGGGACCAGATCGACGAACACTGCTTGGACAAATTCAGGGTACGCGGTTCACGGTATAAATGGCGGTCGAGTGCTAGGCGGGACGATGAGAACCATGAGTACCTAGACCAGTGTGCCGACCCCACATCTGCAGCCCTGCCAAACTTGCTTACATTCAGTCCGATTGTTCGCGCGGAAGATGGATAATTATAGAACTTTTGGCACTCTTGGCCCTTGGCATGGCACCTGCCAACAGGCATCACGGGTTTCGGCTCCGCAATGAACGAGGTGCGAATCCTTCTCCGATCATGTCCTGTATCCGGGAATAGCACGCGTAACCCAGACCTGCCAACCATGCTACAGTAATCGCTGACTTGTTTATTAGCTACTGTCTCTCATACCTAATCTCCTGGCATGACTTTCCCGCTTGTGGCTTGAATGACGTTGGCCGAGCTGCTCCTTACAAGACTCGATCCGTGGCTTTGAGCAGGCATGAAAACGGTCTTCGAGAAAAGAATCCCAATAGCAACTGATTTTACTGTCGCCAGACGATCGCGACTGGTATTGAAAGGAAATGAACAACTTAACCAGAAGGCACTCGTGTAAAATCTGAAATTAAAGCATGGGTATATCACTAACTGGAAGCAGCCCCGATGCGCATTCGAATCGGTGCAATGGCCCCTCTCGAGCATCGCGAACACGACAGTCCTGCAGTCCACTACACATGATGCCTGAAAGCATTCACTTCATTATATAATTCATTCATCGAAGGTATCTGAACCTGCTTGCTCTCGTTCGACTCATATCGTTCCGCTTAGACCCTCTTCTCCGAGTCCGACACGGCGGCATCGGAGCTGTCGCTCCGAGTAGGACCAGCGACTTGGCGCTGCTCGAAGGAGTAGAGAGGCTCGAGCTTGGCGTTCTTGTTCAAGAAAATCCAACGCTTGATGAACCAGGGAATGAACTTGTTCACCTGATAGGACATGAAGCGGGAGGTGGGCAGCGCGAACACCCAGTCGAGCTCCTCGAGGGTGCGCTGTTTCGTCTCGGGAACCCAGAACAGAATCATGATGAAGGCCACCACGTTGAAGCCGGCGTAGAGCCCGAATGCGCCGACGGTCTCGAGTCTCTTGAGGAGGAAAGGGAAAGTCATGCCGAGAATGCCAGCCCAGAAGAGGCACGTGGCGACGGCAAAACCCATGCCGACTTCACGGTGGGAAAGAGGGAACACCTCTGCGGAGTAGGTGAAAGGTACAGGACCCTCTCCGGGCGAGTAGAATGCACCAAACAGGTAGACAAAGAGCGCGACGAGGGCCGTCCGTAGAGTCTCGTGCTTCTCCTTGTCGATGAGGGTGCAAAGACCGGCTGCGAGAAGTGTCCAAGTCATCTGAGGGAAGGTGAACAGAAGCAAAGACCTTCTTCCGAAGGTGTCAATGGTCCAGAATGCAGGGAAGGCGAAGAGCCAGTTGACGAGGCCGAAACCGAACGACGCAAGCAAAGCTTGCTTATCGCTTTGGCCTGCTTCCTTGAAAATCGTCGTCGAGTAGAAAGCAATGATATTAATACCGCACATTTGCTGAGCCAACATTCTAGCATGAAGCGTTAGCCGACCTGCGACTTTATCGGAGCTACCATCGTGGACTTGAGGTACTTACACTGTGAACGCAGAGAGTGTTGCGCGACGAACGCGAGGGATGGTGAACAGTTGCGTGAACCGGGTAACGTAGTTGTTACGACTGAGAATCTTGTGCTCAATAGCAAGCTGAGAGTGAATAGCGTACATGTCGCGGGCGACCTGGATCTCATTGTGGCGCAGTTGGATCATGGCCTTCCAGGCATCAGTGTAGCGTCCCTTCTTCATGTACCAACGAGGCGACTCGGGGCAGAAGTAGATAAGACACAAGAGAGGCACAGCTGGAATAAAGGGAGCACCAAGCATGAGACGCCAGTTGTGTTCGTGGTTGAAGAGGGCCAAATTGACAGCAGTACCCAACATGATGCCAAATGCTGTCCACATTTCTGTGCAGGACATGTTAGCTCTGGCACGGGGTGTCGATGCTGAGGAAAATACTAACGCCAAGACATGACAAGAGCACCTCGAATAGACGCCGGTGCGTTCTCGGCGGCGTAGATTGGGACAGTGGAGGCCTTAACGCCCATGCCGATTCCCATAAGGAGACGGTTGATGAGCTGCTGCTGCCAGTTGTGAGAAAATGCCGAGCCGATGAGGGGCCAGATGCAGAAGTGAGCTGAGAACCAGATAACACCTCTGCGGCCAAAGTAGTGGTTGAGGGGGTCAGATAGCCAGCATCCACAGAGAGCGCTGCCGAAGTATGGGCCGGCGTTCAGAAGACCAAGGATGAGCTGGTCACCGACGCCTTCGCCGTCAATACCGTAGTACTTGGGCAAGAAGATGTTGGCTCCGTTGACACCAGTTTGGTCCCAGCCCTGGACAGCCGCACCGATGGAGCAAGTAGCAATAGTCAGGAACAGCTTAATAGGCATGCGCCATTTGTGAGTGGTCTCCCTTTCAATCACAAGAACCTCTGCTTCGTCGAGGCGCTCGGATCCGGTGATATCTCGGTAGCCCGCAGGATTTTGCGCAACTAGAGCACCTTTACGGAAGACAGCCGTGTGTTCAGAGAGGCCCTTTTCCTGGCAAAATGTTTCCACATCTCGCATCAGCTGGTTGTATGGAATGCCTTCGAGGGGGTTGATGATCCTAAGCGGAGTGTCAGCTCAATATTCGCCATGCATATGCTTGTGAAGCTCACCTGGCCTCGAGGTTTCTGCTCAGAGCACCAGAATCGTTTTGCGGTTCAACATTGCCCTTCTCGATATTCTCATCGTGGGCCGTAGAGGTCTTGCGACTGTGATATGGTCAGCATGACATGAGACTCTTGTGTATGATGTCGACTGGATGGGTGACATACGGATCCTGGGTTGGTTCTGCCATCGTAATGTGTTGTTGACCAATGTGACATAACAAGACTAATCTACATCACTCGGCAGGAACCTTTACCCCAGCAGCGAAGGGGTTCTTCTCCTCCTTATATAACCAGCGGGCCATGCGACGCTGTGCCAGGCAAGGGTCCCGACAGACTGGCCGATCCTGTGCTTGGACAGGCATGGTGTATACGGTGGTTAGAGCTGATGGCCCCGTCGCTGCGTGGAGGGGGTGGGACCCCGCTCGCCACGAGCTGCAAATCCCACACACCGACGGTACAAGACACGAGAAACCCCTGGGATCGACATGGGACATTGGAGGTTGCGGCGGATGGTGCCACACGGGCCCCCCGTTAACGGTGGTGTGAGCTCCGCCATCACCGTCTTCATCTACACCTATCAGATTCAATGTCTTGTAGGGTAAGACCCGCACTCAGCAGCTTGGTCCCGCATGAAGCTGAGGGTAGTCATCGTCCTACACAGCGTTTGGAAGGCCGTGGCCATTGTTTAAGGATTTCGTTGTCACCCAGCATGGTGCAGCGCGGAGCAGGATGGAGAGTACCATGTAGAATCAGGGCATCCCACCGTGGGGCGCGCAGCAGAGGATGACCTGGTAACGCCTTACCTACTGGCGGGCGAACATGTAATCGCAAGGCAAGCAGATGTACGACCCGCTTTACCCCTTCACCCTTGTCTTCGAGCTTCGAAAGCAACATGACAGCTTCCTTGGCCCGTATCACGGTCCCGAGCTCTGGGCGCTGTGCCCCGGTGCTGCGAGCGGCCAGCTGCGCGCCGTCTCCGATGCAAACATGTATGATTTTTCCACGGTCTCACTTAAGCAAATGTCACCTGCTCCCTCGAAGTCTCACTTAAGCTTGTGAAGACGCCAAGGCCAGCCAACCTTGCGATGTCAGGCTCGCTCTGTGTCCTGTTCCAGATGAACAGTTCCCTTACCGCACACTAGAGCTAGGCGTTTGAAAAAACAACATCTCCCCCATCATGCACCACAGCCGCCATGTCTCAGCCCATCTTTTTCGATGTACGGGCTTGATGTCGAAGTGGATCACCCTTAGCCAAGAACTCAATGATTCGATCAACAAAACTAGGCGTCTCCGTAGAGACAAGATGGGTCAGCCACAGAGTCATACACGCGGGGGTTGGGCTGGTCAACGGGCTGCAAGAGGGGCCAGGGTACATGTAGCACTACAGTATTCGTAGGCCGGAGGCAGGGGCACAGGGGTTGAGCGACCAGAATCGCAGCGAGGCGCGCGACAAGCTTGATCAACACGTACAATGGTGCCACTAGTTCAACGATGGAGGCTTTGCATGAGCTTGAATAAACACCCTGTGTACCTAGCTCTGGACGACAACCACCTCACTCGAGCTGAGGGGTCGCTCTGATTGGGAAAAGGATCCAGAACCCAGCGCGTACAAATCCAATCGATCA